ACTTAATGTGGCTTAGTTGTTAGAGTGCTTACCTAGCATGCATGATGCCCTGGGTTCAATTCCTTAGTACCCCATAAAAAGTCAGAAGTGGTGCTGTGGCTCAAGTGGTAGAGTGCTAGAGTAAAAGCAGCTCAGGGCCAGTGCCCAGGCCCTGAGTTCAAGCCCAGGACTGGCAAAAACAAAAAACAAAAATGACTACTTAATAGCCCAGATGCTCTACAATAAATGCAGTACTTATTCACAATTATATAATTTGCAGGGAAATGGATGAACCTAGAAAAAAATCATATTAAGTGAGCTGAGCTGAGAGACACAAATGGCTCATGTCTTCTCTCATATGTGGAAGCTAGATCTAAAATACACTGGGATGTGATAAATTATATGACTTCAAGTATTCACACACAATGAGACCAAAGGATATTCTTAGGAGAGGAACACAAAGGTGCAATGCCTATTTTCATCTGATTATATAAAATAATTTCAAAATGCAGAAGTGGTACTCACTTGACATTATGTTGAAAATGAACTATATGACTTGTGATTGGGGATGGGAGGGAAAAACCTGGGAAGGAAGGAGTGACATTGTCTAAAAGGAAATGTACTCATTACTTGATTTATGTAACTGTAACCCTTCTGTGATCACATTTATAATAACAATTGAAAAAAAACAAAAAATGACTACTTAATAAGCCTTTTGAAGCACCGTGGTGGGGCCCCAGGGTGCAGTGTCTGCTGAAGTCACCACAGCAGTGTCCTCACCACTGTAGGACCTTAAATATTGAGGTGCTTGGGTGCCCCACTGTGCTACAACAGGTGGGATTGAGCTGTGAGCCCTGTGCAACTCAAGACCCATCACACAGTGCCACTTGCTGGGTGGGTCTAGGTAAGTAACGCTTTTGCGTCTCCATTTTCTCATTTACAAATAAGGATAATATGCATCTCCTTGGTTCACTTCAGAGATTAAATGGGTTCATTCATGTACAGTGCTAAGAACACATACCTATTACATATCTAGTTGGGTATGTAATACTTCATTAAGTTATTATTTCTGAATCGGGATAAGGGGGCCTTACTTAGTGAAACTTGAAGAGACTGATATATAAACTAAATGTTATTTATTAACTTATTACTAGAAATGCAACTGATGCTGGGCACCAGTGGCTCACCAGTAATCAGTCATTTGGGAGGCTGATAGGGAGGATCATGGGTTGAGACCAGCTTGGACAAGGAAGTTCTTCACCAATATCTGAATGTGGTTGGCATCCTAGATTTGTAGGAAGGTAGACTGAGGTCCAGGCATGTGCCTGGGGCAGGAAGTGAGAACCTATTTCAACAATAACCAGTGAAAGGTGGGTGCTGGTGGCTCACATCTGTACACCCCTAGTTACTTGGGAGCCAAAGAGCAGAAAGATCTGGATTTGAGGTCGGTCTGGGCAGAAAAGTTCTTGAGACATTATCTAAAAAGTAAGCAGCAAAAAACAGAGCTGGAGACATGGATGAATTGCTAGGTCAACCTAGCAAGGGCTAAGACCTGATTTCAACCCTTACCCCAGAGCCACACACACAGAACAAAAAAAAGAAAAACCTGGACTGTAAAGTGATGGGAGAGGCACCAAGCTGGAGCAAAGTACTGAGTGATGCAACAGAATCAGAGGCGTGCCCGTGTGTGTAGAAAGATGAGAAGAAAATGTCTTTACAATGGGAGAAAAATCCAAGAAGCAGTCGCTTTTGGGCCCAGCAGGAGATATGGATGCCTGTTAATTGAGACTGAACTAGGACTAAATGCAGTAGTTCTCAGCTAAAGCATCATAAGTACTTCACTGGAAATCAGTAAGGCAGTGGGCTTCCAACAAATACTAATACTCATAATGGCTAAACTTATTATTTAATAGCTTTCCAGTGAACTATTATTTTCCCTTTTTATAGACCAGGAAACTTAGGTGTGGGGAGGCTTACTTTGCTAAGGTCATACAGCTGTCAGATAACAGAATCTAAGCACAAATGTGTTTCTTTCTGACTCCAGTGTGGACCTTCTTATTTGTAACTGAATCTGATTTAAAGCCCCTCTTCCCATTCTGGCATCACAGTTCTTCCCGAAAGGCAGAGAGTGCATAGCCCTGGCTATGCTGAGGGCGTGTGTGATAGGGGGAGTCACCAATGGATGAAACAGCTGTGGAGCAAAGTTGAGATGAGCCAACCAAGTGAGGGATCTGGAGACCTAGACACTTGTTCTTACCTCAGCGTGCATGCACAGATATCTAAGCTCAAATAAACTCCCCTTTTATAAAATATGTGAACAGACAACACAAGATTATCAAGAAGATAAAAACAAAAAATTCAATGTGTATCCTACAAAATTAAGAAAAGTGAGGGAAGGGGTGGGTTGAGATGGGTGAAAATGTTGAAAGGAATGACACTAATGAAGATGCTTTGTATTCATAAAAGTGCTCATGTTAAATGGCAACTCCTTTGTACAACTACTTAAAAAAAAATTAAGGGATGGGGCTGGGAAGGTGGCTCAGTGGTAGAGCACTTGCCTTGCATGCTTAAGGCCCTGGGTTCGATTCCTCAGCACCACATAAGCAAAAAGAAAAAAGCTGGAAGTGGCGCTGTGGCTCAAGTGGTAGAGCGCTAGCCTTGAGCTGAAGAGCTGAGGGACAGCGCCCAGGCCAAGTTTAGGCCCCATGACCGACAAAAAAAAAAAAAAAAATTAATAATAGGGCCGGTCACCCTTGGCTCATGCCTATAATCCTAGCTACTCAGGAGGCTGAGATCTGAAATCATGGTTCAAAGCCAAAGTGGTAGAGTGCTAGCCTTTAGCTTAAGAGCTCAAGGACAGTGGTCAGGCCCTGAGTTCAAGCTCCATGACTAACTAAAACCAAAAACAGAGCATAATAATAATAAAGATAAAATCCAGATAGTAGCAAGCACTAGTGATTCTTGCCTGTAATCCTAGCTACTTAGGAGGCTGAGATCTGAGGACTGGAGTTGGATGCTAGCCCAACTTGAGTCTTATTGCCAATAAATCACCAAAAACCTGAAGTGGAGCTATGACTCATGGCTAGAGCACTATCGTAGAGCAAAAAAACTCAGGGGCAGTGCTCAGATGGAGTTCAAGCCCAAGACAAGCACATATAAATAACCAGAAAACCAGCCAGGCACCATGGGTGGCTCATGCCTATAATCCTTAGCTACTCAGGTGGCTGAGATAAGAGGATCGTGGATTGAAGCCAGTCTGAGCAGGAAAGTCTTTGAGCTTTGTATCTTTAATTAACCACCAAAAAAACAGAAGTGAGGGCTGGGAAGGTGGCTCAGTGGTAGAGCGCTTGCCTTGCATGCATGAGGCCCTGGGTTCGATTCCTCAGCACCACATAAGCAAAAAGAAAAAAGCCGGAAGTGGTGCTGTGGCTCAAGTGGTAGAGCGCTAGCTTTGAGCTGAAGAGCTGAGGGACAGCACCCAGGCCCAGAGTTCAGGCCCCATGACCGGACCCCAAAAAACAAAACAAAACAAAAAACAAGTGGGGTTTTGGTCAAGTGATAGAGCAGTGATCTTGAGCTAAAGCTCAGGTACAGGGCCCTGGCCTGAGTTTAAGCCCCAGCCCCACAAAACAACAAGAAAAAAACAACTAGGTGATTTGTGAAAGCTTTTCTCAGTGTTAATGCCACAGAGTGGACAAATATTTACTCTAATTTAGGGTTTCAAAGTCCTTTCTATGTATAGTGCAACATAACTATTCATTGATTTAATATAAATTAAACAGAAACCTAGAATTACTGACTGGGTATGACCTATGCGTATCATTACAGTGAAAAGTGCAGGATTTCTGCTTCACCTCATACAATCCAGTGGATAAAGGCAGTCAGTCTCATGCTGCGTTCCTACAAGCAGGCTTTCCTATACTGGCTCAGCACATGTGGAGGCTGGGAGTGGGCCCCAATTCAACCATGTTCAGAGGTGGGTCTTTGGCTTCATGTATCAGCAGATGACAGAAATTTAAAGGCAGTGGGTTCCTGAGGGGAGTTTGGGATCTTTCTCTACACATGATCTGACCATTTTGTTCTCCCTCACCATGAGCCCACAAGCAATGGAACCAAGTTAGTGTGGACTGAGACCTGCAAAACCATGAGTCCAAATAAATCTTTCCTTGTTTTAGGATTGTTTTTGAGGATAGCTCACTAAACATAATTTTACATCCAATCAAGTCTCTTTACCAGCTTTTTATATACCATAATACATTCAGCAACTCAGTTAAAGTTTCTTGGGTGAGTTTTGTAACTATAATTTCCACACAGCTACCAAGTTTATTCAGTTGATGCTAGTTTCTCTATGTCACTGACAGCAAAATAGGTCTCCACCTTAATGTCTTCTCTCTACCAATTATATCAGCAGCTAAATCCTTGAGAAAGAACATATATAAATCATACTTCTAATTGGGCTAGTGGCACATGTCTGTAATCTCAGCACTCAATAGAGGCTAAGGCAGAGGGGATCTAGCTGGGTAACACAGCTAGACTCTGTCTTTTTTAAAAAAAGAACAAGAGGGTAAACTCTTGCTGCTTTTGATCAACATGTACCTCCCCACTTTTTAAAAAGAGGCATGGTCTTACTATGTTGCCAAGGTTTGTTCCAGAACTCCTGGGGCTTAAGTGATCTTCCTGCCTCAGTCTTCCAAACAGCTGAGACTACAAGGACATGCTATTGCACCTGACTTCTCCTCTTTAAGATTGCTTAGTTTGAAAACAAAGTGCCCTATTCTTTCCCATTAGATTCTGTTCTTAATTCTCCTCTTCTAGGTCTCTCTTACACGGCCAAGGGAAAAATAATACGAAAGCACGCAAGCAACATGGGGACAGAGGTGGCTTCTCTTGAGTTCTGAGGGTCCAGATCAGAGAAGTACAGGGAACTTGGAGATCGGTCAAATTCCTCCTTGACCCAGAGAGCAACTGAGTATACCCTACGTGAGGCCACATTCCAGAAATCAGGTCAACATTCAAACTAGTGGGGGCTGACGGAGAGAGCCCAAGGCCCCATCAGCAGAGTCAGAACTCTGGTTAGGAAATAAATCACCACAGTGATCCCAATGTACTGTTCTTAGGCCCCCACTTAGCATACCCCATAGAGAAATCACCTGGAGACCTTAGTGGCCTTGAGGATGTGACCTCCCACAGGCAAGGATGATACTGCTGGTTTGCACTTGTGACTGATACAGGTGCCACAGGAACATACCCATCCCAGAGCCCACGAGCCTCAACAGTAGGCTGCCCTGCCCAGGGAAGAGCAGAGATGTGGCCAGGAAGATGCAGGGGAAATTTAATTTACATAGCAGCCACATGGGGCCCAGTCAAGATGGGGCAGTGGGGGGCAATTTATAACCCCAGAGGGAGGGCACCCCCCCAGCCCTTCCCCTGGGACACAGGCCTCACAGATCCTTGGATGGGGCTCCCCACATTGTGAAGAGGATGCTCCAGTTGAAAGGAAGAGATGTGGGAATAAGGCTGTCCCCAAGTAGGGGAAGTCCATGGCCTGGAGTCAGTTGCCTACACATGAGCCCAGGGGTCTGCAAGATCAGTCCATGTCCTGGGCACAGTCCTCAACCTAGTGGCCCTAGAGGAAGCCTTCCCGGCGGAACTGTTCCTGGAGAAGGGCGCGGTACTGGTCAAATCCCCCTTCAACCCGGGTGACGCCGCCTCCTTCACACACCCAGAGCTCCCTGCACACCAGCCGGATGAAGCGCTCATCATGAGACACGAGAATCACGCCACCCTGAAAGACAGGAGAGTACATGTGTGCAGGAGTGCCAGGAGCGGCCAGGCCTGTGCAGGAGCAGTGGAAAGGCATATTCACCTTGAAATTATTGAGAGCACGACCCAGAGCCTCGATTGTCTCCATGTCCAGATGGTTTGTGGGTTCATCCAGGATATAGAAGTTGGGACTGGAAGACAGAACACGGGTAGGTTGGCAGTTATGGGATCAGGCTGAGGGGAAGGAAGAAAATGAACCTCTCTGGCACAAAGATAAAAGACCATTTTCTAGAGGGCAAGAAGGGGAAATGGAAGAGCAGGAACTCTAGGAAATGAGGCCTCACCAAGGCATGGTCATCTGTGCAAAGGCTACGCGGCTCTTCTGGCCCCCAGACAAGCTTGCAACAGGGCGCATGGCCAGTTCCCCAGAGACACCATAGCGACCCAGCTGGTGGCGATATTCCTCCTCAGGCCGTCCTAGAAAAGGCTCCAAACATTAGATGAGCTCTTGGTCCAACTCCCTTCCTTTTCTCCAGCCCTTCCTCCAAATCTTCATGTTCTCACACCTAGATTCAGGTAGGTTGCTCTGTACCAACCAAAGCCTGTCTAGCTGCAGAGGTCATCCTAGGCCCTTTTGCCTCAACCCAAATCCCTAACTCACCAGGAAACTTTCGTGCGAGCAGCTCTACAGCACTGACGTTTAGGTCCAGCTGTTCTACATGGTGTTGGCTGAAATATCCAATCTTCAGATTCCTACAGGGAAGAATGAAGTTAGAAGGCACTGAGTATGAGTGTCTACACTCAATGTAGGTGATATGAGTCCGTATGAATGTGTGCATGCAATTGGTGGGGCACCTTACCTGTGGGCATGTCTGATGCCCCTAACAGGTGCCAGGTCCCCCATAAGCAGCTTCAACATGGTAGATTTCCCAGCCCCATTCTCCCCAACCTGTAAGAAGCAAAAACATGCTAATGAGTGTACATAAGTGTGTGGAACAATGGAGGGAAAGAAACAAGATCAGGGTCCCTCGATGTCCTGACAACTCCTAAACAAAAAAATCTGGCTAAAAGACTATATAGTCTGGTGCTGGTGGCTCAAACCTGTAATCCTAGCTATTCAGGAGGCTGAGATCTGAGAATCATGGTTAGAAGGCAGCCCAGACAGGAAAGTCTGAGAGACCCATTTGCAGGTAACCACAAAAAGCCCAAAGAAGAGGTATGTACCACTTAGCTATGGCTAAGTGGTACTGTGCTAGCCTTGAGCAAAAAAGGTAAGGGACAGTGCCTCAGGTCCTGAGTTCAAGCCGTAGTAGCAACACACACAGAAAAAAAAAAACAACTATATCGACAGGTGACGTAAAGACACAAAGGGCCACTGGCTGGTGGGTCACACCTGTAACCCTGACAACTCAGGAGGCTGAGATCTGAGAATCACTGTTGGAAGCCAGCCCAGGCAGGAAAAGTCCATGAGACTCTTATCTCCAATTAACCACCAGGAAACTGGAAGTGGAGCTGTGCCTTGAAGTGGAAGTACACAAGGCTTCTGCAAAAAGAGCTCAGGGACAGTGTCTATGCCGAGTTGAAGCCCCATAACCAACAAAACAGAAAAAAAAATACAAAGGCAACCAATACTTGAGTTCCTCCTTAGCACTAAGAATTTACTTTTCCCAGCCGGGCGCTGGTGCTCATGCCAGTAATCCTAGCTACTCAGGAGGCTGAGATCTGAGGATCTCGGTTCAAAGCCAGCCCGGGCAGGAGAGACCGTGAGACTCTTATCTCCAATAAACCACCAGAAAACCAGAAGTGGCGCTGTAGCTCAAGTGGTAGAGCGCTCGCCTTGAGCTGAAGAGCTGAGGGACAGCGCCCAGGCCCAGAGTTCAAGCCCCACGACCGACAAAAAAAAAAAAAAAGAATTTACTTTTCCCAAATAACCAAGTGTGGTAGATATTACCTCTCTTTATTGGAAAAAGGAAAATGCTGGATGGGCTGGGAAGTTGGCTCAGTGGTAGAGCACTTGCCTTGCATGCATAGGCCCTGGGTTCGATTCCTCAGCACCACATAAGCAAAAAGAAAAAAGCTGGAAGTGGCGCTGTGGCTCAAGTGGTAGAGTGCTAGCCTTGAGCTGAAGAGCTGAGGGACAGCACCCAGGCCCAGAGTTCAGGCCCCATGACCGGACCCCCCCCCCAAAAAAAAAAATGCTGGTAAACCAAGCTAGTGAATTCTGCAGTTAGGATCTAAACCAAAACCTTCACCTTGAAACTTGTGCTCTTGCTTCAATATTTCATTGTTGTTGAGATAACCTCAGAACTGAGTCCACTATGGTAAAATATTCTAAGTACTCATAAAATGCAGAATGCCAGTATGTGCATCTCTAAGGGCAGCCCTGTAAGGCTAGAGGGCTGGGGTAGGAGAAGCACAGATGTCTTTTGCCTAGCCCACTGTCCTGTGTACCTCCTCCCCCCTCAGCCTCACACTCAGCCTGATCCACACTTGTTGGAGTGGAAGACTGCTAGAACATAGTCGAGAAACAGTAACCATACCACGCATATTCGAGACTCAAGGTCAGCAGATACAGACAGACGATTAAAGATGACGTGTTTAGGATCATAGTAGAAATCCACCTCATCTAGCTGCAGAATTGGTGGTGAGAATTTCTCAAACCCATCAGGGAACCTGTAAGAGGTACAGGGGAGGAGCATGGCGGGGTTGGTGAGAAAAAAAAGAGGCTCTCCACCCTCCCTCTGGCTTAGCACTCACTTCATCACGACCTCAGACTCCTTGTCCACAGGCTTCAGCTCAGGTCTGAGGGGAGAGAAGGGAGACAGGATACACTAGGTTTCATGTCTTCAATTGTGTGTGTGTGTCTGTGTGTGCACGCGTATGATATGTGCTGATATTGAAGTTTGAACTCACGTTCTCACATTCATGCTCAATTTTTTTGCTCACAATTGGCACTGCTATCAAATGGCAAGTAGAAATAAGGCATCCCTCAGTTCTAACAGGTCCAACTTTCTGCTGGATAATAGTCTTTCCAATTTGTCTGTCTGGGTTGGCTTTGAACTTTGATCCTCAGATCTCAGCTTCCTAAGTAACTAGGATTATAGATGAGAGACTTTTTTGGTACCAACACTGGGGCTTGAACTCAGGACTGCCTTCTCTTCCTTGGCTTTCTCACTCAAGGCTAGCAGTCTCCCAACTGAGTCATACCATTACATCTTGCTTTTAGCTGGGTATTTGGAGATAAGAACTTCATGGACTTTCTTGCCAGATCTCAGCCTCCTGAGTAACTAGGATGGGCTTGAACTCTGCCTGGGTGCGATCCCTGAGCTTTTTGCTCAAGGCTAGTGCTCTGCCACTTGAGCCACAGCACCACTTCTGGTTTTCTGGTAGTTAACTGGAGATCAGAGTTTCATGGACTTTCCTGCATGGGCTAGCTTTAAACCATGACCCTCAGAGCTCAGCTTCCAAGCTTCCTGAGTAGCTAGGATGACAGGCATGAATCACTGGTGTCCAGCTGCTTTTGTTTTTTAAGAGAAGGCCACCTATGCAATCTATATTTGCATAGAAATTGCTATGGAGCCTAAGCTGGCATTGAAGAGATCCTCCTGCTTCTATCTCTCAAGTGTCAGGATTACAGCCTTGTGCCACCATGCCCTACTAAGAAATAACTTTATTATGGCTAGAGGTATGGCTCAGAAGTAGAGGCCTTGAGTTCAATCCTCAGCACTACAAACAACAACAACAAAAATTAAAACTGACGCAAGAAGCTGAAGCAATAGGACTATGAGTTATCTCTATGGGATACATAGAGGGTTTGAGGCTAGCCCGGGTTATATAATAAGACCCTGTGTCAAAACAACAACAAACCCCCCAAATTTATAAACTGCTAAAAAACAACTTTTTAGACTTTCTTTTTATACAAATAAATGTGGTATAAGCAGGCTGGGAAGGTGGCTCAGGGGTAGAGTGCTTGCCTTGCATGCATAAGGCCCTGGGTTCGATTCCTCAGCACCACATAAACAGAAAAAGCCAGAAGTGGCGCTGTGGCTCAAGTGGTAGAGTGGTTGCTTTAAGCTGAAGAGCTGAGGGACGTCGCCCAGGCCCAGAGTTTAGGCTTAGAGAAAGCTTAGAGAAAACTTTGGAAAAACCCTATATTCCTCTCACCTGGGTAATATAATACATTCATTACAATACATTCATCTAATTCACTATCTGCTGAAAAAGAAAATTATCTTTTTTGTAGCTTTACTGGTACTGAGGTTAAACTCTATAACTTAATCTATGCTCCTAGGCCTTTTTGCTGCTTATTTTTGGGATAGTGTCACATTTTTGCCTGTGCTGACCTGGTTATCTTCCTATGTATGCTTCATGAGTACCTGGGATAAGGGCATATGCCAACCTACACAGCTATTTTGTCTGGCTGTCCTCAAACCTTGATGCTCCCCATCTCTGCCACCTACGTAGCTAGAATTACAGGCATAGGCTATATTCAGTTAAAATTTTTAATTTTTTTTCACTACTAGGAAATGCACCTACAGCTTCTCACACGTACATGCAGACCATCTCTACCACTGAGCCATGCTGCCAGTCTTTATTTTGGCCAGGCTTGGGGCCTGAGCACTGTCCCTGACCTTGTTTTGCTCAAGGCTATCACTTTTCCACTTGAGCTATATTGTCACTTCAGGATTTTTCTGTTTATGTGGTACTGAGGAATTGAACCCAGGGCTTCATGCATGCTAGGTAAGCACTCTACCACTGAGCCATGTTCTCAGCCCTGTCAGTCATTTTTTTGGTAATATATACTTAGTTAATATAATAGTGATATATGTGTCTATGTCATAAAGTTTTAAGCCTTCCCAATCTAATTTCCCTCCCAAATTTCTAGAAAGGCTATTTCAAGATAAAGCTCCCTAAGCACATTATCATTAGTTGTTAAAGAAATGTAAATCAAAACAATATCATCTCACACCTACCAGTACAACTGAAATTAAAAAGTAAGAAGAGTGGCTGAGCGCCGGAGGCTCATGCCTGTAATCCTAGCTATTCAGGAGGCTGAGATCTGAGGATCATGGTTCAAAGCCAGTCAGGCAGGAAAGTCTATGAAACTCATATCTCTAATAAACCACAAGAAAACCAGAAGTGGCACTTTGACTCAAGTGGTAGAGTGCTGGCCTTGAGCCGAAGAGTTTAGGGACAGCGCCCAGGCCCAGAGTTCAAGCCCCACAACTGACCAAAAAAAAAAAAAAAGGGAAAGGAAGGGGAGGAAAGGGAAGGGGAGAGGAGAGGAAAGGACAGGAAGGGAGAAGAAAAGGAGAAGGAGAGGGGAAGGGAAGGGAAAAAGAAAAGGGAGGGAGGGATAGAGAAAGGGAGGGATCCAAAAAAGCAAAACAGAAAAACAAAACAACAACAACAAAAGTGGTCTGACAGGCAGGGTGGCACTGCCCATAATCCCAGGTATGGGGAGGTGAAGGTGGAGGCTGAGGCAGAGGCAGGGGGTTGGGATCCAAAGTGAGACCCTGACTCAAAAAGGCAAGAAACAAAAAGCCTGGCAGATGTTCAAGAAGTTAAACAGAAATTACCATGTAAGAGCAGGAACTGAAACAAAAACTTCTATGTCCTGGTGAAAACTTAAAAAGGTTCATAGCAACAAAGTACCATAATAGAAATGGAAAATAACACAATGTCTATTATCTGATGATCAATATACAAAATGTTGCAAAATGACAATGGACTGTTATTCACCACAGAAAGCAATGAAGTGCTGATGTATGCTACAATATGGATGAACCTGGAAAACAGGTGAAAGAAGCTAGACACCAAAGATCACTTGCCAAATGACTCTATTTAAATAAAATTTAAAGATTAAGTAGCTGTCTAGGCCAGAGTAAAATTAACCCTCCAAGAGTAACCTTCCTCTCCTTTCCTGCAGAGGAGCAAACCGAAGTAGGCTACTAGGATCCCTCCCAGAATGCGAGGCTGGGAGTGATTCTGGCAGCAGCTTGCAAAATGAGGGAAGAAAAGAGATAAAAGGCAGATGCCAGTGGCTCACACCTGTAATCCTAGCCAGCTACTCAGGAGGCTGAGATCTGAGGATCATGGTTCAAAGCCAGTCTGGGCGGGAAAGTCCGTGAGACTCATATCTTTAATAAAACACCAGAAAATCGGAAGTGGTGCTGTGTCTCAGGTGGTAGAGAGCTCGCCTTGAGCTGAAGAGTTCAGGGACAGTGCCCAGGCCCAGAGTTCAAGCCTCAAGACTGGCAAAGAAAAAGACGAAAAGAAAAAAAGATAAAAGGAGCAGGTCCTGGCCAAGGCCATGTACTTACAGCTTCTCCAGCATCTTGAGTTTACTCTGTACTTGGGAGGCCCTGTTGGCATTGTAGCGAAACCGGTCAATGAAAACCTGTAGGAGAAGGAGGCAGGCATTGGTCAAGCTCTCCCTACCACTAAGTCTAACAGCCCACAGGATGCTACGCTCATCCTTGACTCTCTCCATACCTGGATATGCTGGCGATACTGCTGCTGTGCCTCATATTCACGCTGCTGATTGAGCAATCGCTCCTGCTTGCTCTTGATGAAGGTCTCAAAATCTCCCCGGTAGCCATCTAGCCGCTGGCTGTGCAGATGGATGATGTCTGTGGCGATGGCGTTCAGGAAGTTGCGGTCATGAGAGACGACTAAGATTGTGGAGGGCCATGTCTGAGGATCACAGGACAGCAGGCCCGTTTGGGAGGGCAATCAATTCCTGGGGCCACAAATGTCATGAAGGTAGACTTTCCCAGAACCTATTCCACAGCTTCTCCCTAAACTCACCTGCAGGTAATTCTCCAGCCACAGAATAGCTCGTACATCCAGCATGTTTGTAGGTTCTGGAGAGAAAGTTGGGGAGCAAATACTTGGGATCAAAGGCCCAGAGAATTAGGAATACCCTTTCCCACCCCAAAGTCAGGGTGCACTGTTTCAAACTCACCATCTAACAGCAAGAGATCTGGCCTATGAGAGAGAAGAATATAGTGTGAGGGTTTAGGTTGTCGACTTACTGTCACATCCTTAAAGCTAAAGCCCATTACTCATAAGGCCCCAGATAGAGACCCCATGAAACTCACCTAGCAAACAGGGCCCGGGCCAAGGCCAGTCTCATCCTCCAGCCACCTGAGAACTCCCTGCAAACAGACAGAAAGGCAGGAGTGAGTATGTACCAGGGCAAGCAGGGGCAGAGGCAACAATATTCAGGGCCAACAAGAATGCCAAGGCTCACTCACCTGGTAGGCTGCTGCTGCATTTTTGGTGTAAAGCCAAGCCCAGCAAGAATGACTGATGCCCTAGGAATTAAGAGATTGAAGAATCCAGTTAGAATAGTTCAGAAGAGAGAAGGTGAAATGTGACGGAGCAAAGGGACTTTTTACATACCTGGCAGGTGCCTTGTCTGCCTCAATCTCTTCCAGTTTGGCATAGATTTCTGCCAGCTGTGCAGCTTCAGAGCCCTCTGCCCTGAAAAAAAAAAAAAGCAACCAGCATTAAGTTAGGTCAGTCTAGGAGGAACATGTCCTGTACATATACAGTTGGAAAGGAGGACACTGGTTCTCTTGTTGCTAGGATAAGAACAGAATACAGAGAAGATCTATTTGAAGTAGTGAGAGCAATGGATGCTGTGTAAAGAATGAGGGCTTTGGGGTCCCACAGTGCCAAGTTCCAAGCTCCACTGGTCCCAGGATTGACATGTCAATCATGGATGGAGACACCATGGTGGGCATATGGAGGAAAACTACTGCTTGGTGCTCCCCAGCCAGAGCTCCTACCTGCCGGCAGCAATCTGGCCACTGAGCTCCCGCTCCCTCCGCAGCAGGTCCTCTCTCACACTGTCGCTCTCCAGCACACTCTGCAGGGCAGGGGTGTCATCTCCAGCAACCTCCTGCTCTACATGCAGCAGGGAAATGTGGGCTGGAACCCGCAGGCTCCGGGTGGCCAGCATCTTCAGCAGAGTGGTCTTCCCTAGCCCATTCCGTCCTACCAGCCCATAGCGGCGGCCCCATGCCAGGTTCACATCTGCTCCTGCCAGCAGTACTCTACAGAGCAGACAGAAAGGAAAGCAAAGATGCTTCAGAAAAAGGCATGTGGCAATTTCACAACAGTTCCTAACATTGATGTAGCTTCATTTCATCTATCCAGATTCTCCCTTAATTGGAAAAAAGAAAAAGCATGCCTACAACCTCTTCCCCCCTCCATGACACCATTTTCTCACCTATCACCAAAGGATACATCAAAGTTCTCAATTCGCACATCATAGGACTTGTTCTTGCCAGATGATTCCAACCGGTTCTCTTTTCTGCTGCCTGCCTGGCTGGCTGATGCCTCTTCCAAAACTCTATTAAAAGGAAAAATAGGTGGTTTTTAGGGATCTCACTCTTTGGGCCCAGCAGACAGGTCTGTCTCCTAAACCATTCTTTCCCAACTCACAGTGGGTTGCTGGTCTTCAGTGTGTCCTTTTCTGAGCGTTTCTCCTGTTTTGCCTTCAGTCGGGCCTCGGCCTTCTCTAGCTTCTTTGCATTCACTGTCTAAGTGAATTCCAAACACAATTACTTTACCCGAGTTACAGCTCGGGAAGGAGGCCCAATAGAGAGCCCTTCAAATAACCCCTCAGAATGTATGCAGGATGAATAGACTCAAAGATTCAGGGAAAGGGGCTGGGAAGGTGACTCAGTGGTAGAGCGCTTGCCTTGCATGCCTGAGGCCCTGGGTTCGATTCCCAGCACCACATAAGCAAAAAGAAAAAAGCCGGAAGTGGCGCTGTGGCTCAAGTGGTAGAGCGCTAGCCTTGAGCTGAAGAACTGAGGGACAGTGCCCAGGCCCAGAGTTCAGGCCCCACGACTGGACCCAAAAAAAAAAAAAAAGATTCAGGGAAAGACACAAATCATAATTCCCTCCCGAAAGATACACCAACATTGATAGTCAACTCCCACACCCATCATAGCCACAGCCCCATGCTTTCTCCTCCTCACCGAGGACTGTTCTCTCTTTAGCAGTCCTGGAAGTTTGGTGTCACAGTCTGTAAGCGAGAAGAAAAGCAGTCACCTTCTCCCTGAGGGAAGGGAAACTAATATTTTGAGTAACCAATAAGAACCAGGCACAGACATAAACATTTTTCAAGAGAGTTGTTATAATCCTGGAAGAATTGTCTTTGAATTAAAAATAAATCTCTTCAAAGGGCATAGACGTTAAAGCACATAAACTCTAACAAAATCATGCTGTTAGTTAAGTTGCAAAGTTGTGGAGTGAAATCAAGTTTATCCAGCTCCAATGCCCATGTCCCTCCTCTCATACCCAGAAGCTTGGAGATCCCTCTAATTCTACTCTTTCACCATAGGCTCTTGCCCTCATAAACATGTCAACTAGCTCCTACACTTGTCCTGAGATGCAGGGGGCAGTGGAGGCAAAAGTCAGCTAGTTCTGTCTCCTCTCACCGTAGTTTTCTGTTATCTTAGACAGCTGGATGGGGGCGTCCAATAGCACCTGGCTGTTTCCCTGGCTCGGCGGCTCGGCCCTACACAGGTGGGGATAGAAAGCAATTAGGAGTGTATGACCATCAGGCTGTCCGCCCGTCCCTCACAGCTGGTCTCCAGGCCGTTCGCCTCCCTTCGCCCCCATCGGTCCCACACTCAGCACTTACAGGCGCAGAGTGTTGTACATGCGCTGGCACACGGCTCTGATGCCCGCGTCATCTTTGCTGTCCCCAGACACCTCTTGCAACAGTTCCCCCACAGCTTCCACCAGGTCATCCACAGACTCGAAGTCCGCGCTGCCGCTGTGCAAGACGCCTGGCCGGGGCGTGGCAGGACCGGGGAGATACCGGGTAGGGGGGACAAACAAGCAGTTTCAGTGCCCGGACGCCCCAGACGGGGCTCCAGACCCGACCGGCCCTCGGGACAGGAGGTCACGCAGAGGGGAGTCTTGGAAGACGTCCGCAGTGCTCATCTTCCTTAGTCTTTCCCCTCACTACTGCTTTGGCCTCCCTAACACGTTAATTCGGCGCGGCTCACCAGTCACGTAGTCGAAGACCTGTCCGTCAATGTCGGGGAACTCGCTCCGCAGGATTTCGGCGCAAGTCGCCATGTTCCAGTTCGGACCTCGTCGGCGCAGACGCCGTGAGATCTCGGCCTAAGGCCGCCCCCTGTCTTTCCTCTGAAATCACGCCCCTCCTCCCAAAGCGCATGCGTAACGGTGACGCAAGCTAGGATCGGAGTGCTAGGAGCCCGGGGCGGGGCGAAGGCGGGGTGGAGGAGAGCGGGGAGGGAATGAAATCGTGCGCAAGCGCTCCCGCCGGAGCTGCTCCCTCTGCGCCTGCGTGAAGTGCTAGGTTGAAGGTTAGCCGTCGTGCTGTACACGCTGCCTCCTGGGAGGTGGAGCTCCGGAGCCGGGAGGGGCGGGGCAGGCAAGGCTTCTCCAGCACGGGCCAGGGTGGTCCTGGAGCCTCCCAGCCCCGAAGCTGACGAAGCACTTAGGCAGCTTTCAGGCCTTCGCTGAAGCGCCTCCGCCACGGCACGCCTAGCAGCTCAATTTGGAGACCACGGGAGCAGTGCTGACTCATGCCAGCAGCGACGCCCTCGCAGGGGCCTCCACCGTCTTCTGCGTCCGCCTCGGCACCCACCTCCACTCAGCCGGGCCCACCACCGTGGCCCCGCACCCCATCCCTTTCGCGGTTTCTGACAGTTCAGCCAGCCATCCTTCGAGAATTGTGCCATTGAGTTCTTCCCCAAGGCACACCAGAGACCTCACCGCCTTAATTCGCGGGTAATTCTCGGTCTACACCCTAAGGAGCCTTCCAGCACACTGATAAGTTTGAGAGACCATCCCTTCACAGATAGCCTCGGGCGACTTGTTAAGTAGCAAAGGATCACTTTCTTCCAAATCAGCTCTAAAACTGACAACTAAAATTTAGCACTACCTCCCCCCCTTTTCTTTTTGCCAGTCCTGGGGCTTGAACTCAGGGCCTGGGCTGCTTTTGCTCAAGGCTAGCACTCTACACTTTAGCCACAGCGCCACTGCCAGCTTTTTCTGTTTATGTGGTACTGAGGAATCCAACCCAGGGCTTCATGCACGCACTAAGCCACATTTCCAGCCCCTTCCATTTTTGACAGGCCCAGGCTAGCCTCAAACTCACTATCTTTCTGCTTGCTTTAGTCCTCTGTTTGGATTACATACTGCCACAATGAAGAAACAGTCCCAACACTGAACCTCCGTCCAGATTTAATAACCATTTTATAGGAATTGTGGATTAAACAGGAATATGCTGTGACTGGGGTGGGTTGCAACAGGCAAACAGTGATCAGCAAAGTATAAGTCACGTTTTTTTCAACAAGTGTAGGGGCTGGGAAGGTGGCTCAGTGGTAGAGTGCTTGCCTTGCATGCCTGAGGCCCTGGATTCTATTCCTCAGCACCACATAAGCAGAAAAATCCTGGAAGTGGTGCTGTGGCTCAAGTGGTAGAGCGCTAGCCTTGAGCTGAAGAACTGAGGGACAGCGCCCAGGCCCTGAGTTCAGGCCCCATGACTCACAAAAAAAAGAAAAAGAAAAAAAAGTGTAAGAACAAAAAAGTGGTGGTAGAGGGCAAAACCTATAGGTTATACTTAAGATGAATTAACCAACCACAATGAAATCTATGGGTGTAACATAAATGGCTGAGTTGATGATGTTGAAATTGAGTGCTGGACACGGAGGCTCATTGTTCTACTTCCATCTATGAAAATTTCTCTACTATGTATTTATTTATTTATTTTTTGGTTAGTCATGGGGCTTGAACTCTGGGCTTGGGCACTGTCCTGGTGCTCTTCAGTCAAGGTGAGCACTCTACCACTTGAGCCACAGCACCACTTCCTCTTTTCTAGTGGTTTATACTTTTCTGCTCAGGCTGGCTTTGAACCATGATCCTTACATCTCAGCCCCCTGAGTAGCTAGGGTTACAGTCGTGAGCCACCGGCACCTGGATTAATATGTTTTTGTTTTTAAATAAAAAACTAGCATGATGTTTGTGGCTCATAATGGTAATTCTAGTCTCACAGGAAACTGAGAGCTGAAGGTTTGAAGCTATCCTGGGCATTTCAGCAAAATGCCAAATGGGAGGCATGGCTTAAGTGGTAGAGCACTAGCCTTGAGCAAGGACTCTTAAGCTCTAAATTCAAGCCTTGGAACTAACAGGTGTATGCACGTGACTAAAGTAATGAAAGCAAATGTGTTTTGTTTTGTAATCTTTTTGTGTGTGTGCCAGTCATGGGGCTTGAAGTCAGAGCCTAGGAACTTTACCTGAGCTTTTTTGCTGAGGGCTAGCGTTCTACTACTAAAACCACAGCTCCACTTCCAGCTTTCTGCTGGTTAATTGGAGTTAAGTTTCACAAACTTTCCTGCCTGGATGGCTTGGATTCTCAATCCTCAGATCTCAGCCTCCTGAGTAGCTAGGATTATAGGTGTGTGTCTAGCAAGACCATTCCTTTTCACTGGCGCTTGAACTCAGGGCCCTCATAATCTTACTTAGCTTTTTCTACCCAAGGCTGGCAGTATGCCACACTCCCACTTACGGCTTTTTAGTGGTTAAATGGAGATGAGTCTCAGACTCAGCACCCTAAGATTTCAGACTTTTGAGTAGCTAGGGTTATAGAGTGTAAGATATCCATGCCTGGTGCAAACCTTTTTTCTGTCCCAGCACCTGACTCCACCTCTGGATATGGGATACTCCCCTCAGTAATTAATTTACCATACTTTTTGTTTTTCTTTTTTTGTACCGGTCTTATGCCTTGAATTTAGGGGTCTGGGTACTGTCCTTGAGCTTCTCTTGCTCAAGGCTACCACTCTACCACTTAAGCCACAGCATGACTTCTGGCCGTTTCTGTTTATGTGGTACTGAGGAATCAAACTTAGCATGCTTTAAGCATGCTAGGCAAGCACTCCACTACTAAGTTGCATTTCCAGCCCAATTTACCATGCTTTTTTGGGGGGAGGGAGGGGGTCCGGTGGTGGGGCCTGAACTCTGGGCCTGGGCACTGGTCCTCAGCTCTTCAGCTTAAGGCTAGTGCTCTACCACTTGAGCCACAGCGCCACTTCTGACTTTTTTTCTTTTTGCTTATGTGGTGCTGAGGAATGGAACCCAGGGCCTATGCATGCAAGGCAAGTGCTCTACCACTGAGCCATCTTCCCAGCCCTTTACCATGCTTTTTACTGGAGATGTTTAAGTATCCATCAGAAGTGGCATAAGGAAAACAAAAGCCTCTGGCTAACCCCGCAAGACTCAGGAAGCTAAGCTAATTCTTAGGATGGAATTAAGAATTAAGTTTCTGAGGATGTCTATAAAACCAAATCAAACCTTTGATTTGTGATAATTAGAAAAAAAAATTGCCTTAATGAGGAGGTACATGCTTACAATCAAAGCACTCAGGAGACAGAGGCAGAAAGAGCTTAATCCCAAGCTAAGTCTAGGTTAAGCAACGAAGTCCTATATCAAATTAAAAAGAAAAAGCTGGGAGTCAGTGGCTCACACCTATAGTCCTAGCAACTCAGGAAGCTGAGCTGAGGATGGAGGTCAGCTAGCCCAGGCAGATAAATGAGGTTCTTACCTACAAAACCACCTAAAAGCCAGAACTGCAGGCATGGCTCAGCTCACTTGGGGCCAGCCTTATGGGCATGTGGGAGAATCAAGCATGAGTACCTGGAGTTCAGGTCCCAGTACTTGAACCAAAATAGAAAATACCTTTAGGAAGGATTCTACTCTCAGGGAACTGAGACCAGGTAGGGCTACTTGACCTTAAGGCTGTTTTCTTGTTAAGAGTCAGGAGACCCAAACCAACACCCAAGGATGGCCCAAGACAGGCCTCATTGGAACAAAGTAACCTTGAGAGCATTTAGAAAATTCTACTCAACCAAATGGTGTAAGAAATCATGGGAGAGATGGGAAGGTGGCTCAGTGGTAGAGTGCTTGCCTCTATGTATGAGGCCCTGGGTTTGATTCCTCAGTACCACATAAACAGAAAAAGCCGGAAGTGGCAAGTGGTAGAGCTCTAGCCTTGAGCTGAAGAGCTGAGGACCAGTGCCCAGGCCCAGAGTTCAAGCCTCAAGACTGACAAAAATAAGTAAATACACCTCCAGAGCCTGCCATCAGTGGCTCAGGACTGAAATCCTAGCTACTCAGGAGGCTGAGATCTGAGGATAACAGATCGAAGCCAGCCTGGGCAGGAAAATCTATGAGACTCTTATCTCCAAAAACCACTCACAAAACTGGAAGTGGCACTGTGGCTCAAATGGTAGAGCGCTGAAAAGCTGAGGGACAGCGCCCAGGCCCAGAGTTCAAGCCTCATGACCAACAAAAAAATGAACAATTAAAAAAAAAAAATCATGGGAAAGGCAGTCTTACCAGGTCCCCTCTCCCACTGGGCTCCCCATCAACACTTAGCCACCAAGTTTGTTCTACAGTTTATTGGGTTTATAACTGGACGAAGTCACACGTGTACAAAATGAAGCTCACACTATCCCAAAGCAGAGAAAGGACGGAGGGCTGGGGATCTGTTACTGGCCTTTGGGGAAGCTCCAAGGTGAGAGGCAGCCAACTCTCCCACTCCAGAGGAGTGGCCACAGGGGTGTGGGGAGAGGGACTCCACCTGGCTTTGGTCACAGAACTCATAGTCTGGCACTTGGCCAGGACAGATGGCTGGAAGAGCAGGAACCCCAGAAACCACCCTGCCCAGGAAGCCAAGGGACTGCTCTATCAGTCTCACTTCCAATGTCATTGGTCCAGACCTAGACTCAGGGGCTGGCGCAAAGGGAAGGCAGCAAAGCAGTGGGGAGGAGGAGATATTGATGTGTGGTGGCCAGGGGTAGCTAGACCTGTGGAAGGTGGGTGGGGAGCTGGGCTAGTTGCCTACTGGCAGCTAGCAGCGGGTTTCATAAATGCCACTTCGGCCAATATAGCGCACCCATTTGATGACATCGTGGTCGCTGTAGTTCAGCTTAGGTTCAAACACCTTCAAGTAACGCACCTTGAGGCCAGAGGGGGCAAATGGCACCTGTGAGGAAGAATGCAAGTCAGAAATAGGGCTTCATGGCTGCTCTCCTCTGGCAAATTGGAGCTCTGCTCTACCTCGTGTTCTACAAGTGTTTGAATAACCAGGATTCTGAAAGAAGCTGGAGGGAGCTGGGGTGATGGGGAGTCCTCAATGATGTTTGCAAAAGAAAGCATATTTAAGAATAGCAATCATCTTGGGTCTGAAGTCAGGCCCCATTTTCCATAACTTGAGTCCCTTTAATCAGCAGGCAGCAATAGCCACAGAATCACTTCAGAGAAGTACTTACCCTGCTCAATATATGCATTTGAAGGATAAGGTGGAGAAAATTATAGGTCTAATATGTATATAGCAGTCAATTCATAATTCTGTCTGAAAGGAAACTTGCTGGCTTACCTAACATTCAAGTAATCTAAATGTTTCTAAAGAAATGTTGGGTCAAGCCAGGAGAAGTCGAAAGATTTTTCTTCTTTCTCAGTGTGAATAGCAATTTCTTTTTTCTTTTCCTCTTCCTCTTTTTTTTGCCAGTATTGGGGCTTGAACTCAGGGCCTCCTGTTCTCAATGGCTTTTCTTTTTTTGCTCAGGGTTTCCTCTCTACTACTTGAGCCATGCCTCCACTTCTGGTTTTTCTGTTTAATTCTCCAATTAAGTCTCATGGATGGGGCTGGGAAGGTGGCTCAGCAGTAGAGTGCTTGCCTCACATGCATGAGGCCCTGGGTTTGATTCCTCAGCACCACATAAACAGAAAAGGCTGGAAGTGGTACTGTGGCTCAAGTGGTAGAGCACTAGCCTTGAGCTGAAGAGTTCAGGGACAGCGCCCAGGCTGAGTTCAAGCCCCACAACCGACCAAAAAAAAAAAAAAGTCTCATGGAAATGTCTGTCCAGGCTGGCTTTGAACTGTGATTCTGAGATCTTAGCTTCCTGAGTAGTGAGGTCATTAAAGTTATAGGTCATTAAAAGAGTTGAAGAGTTGAAAAGCTGAGTGCCAGTGGCTCACACCTGTAATCTTAGCTACTCAGTAGGCTTGGATCTGAGAATTGTGGTTTGAAGCCAGCCCAAGCAGGAAAAGTCCATGAGACTTTATCTCCAATTATCTACTCAGCAGGAAGTGGAGCTGTGGCTCAAATGCTTAGCGTGCCAGCCTTGAGCAAAAACACTCAGGGAGAGCACCCAGGCTTTGAGTTCAAGCCCCAGGACCCACACAGGAAAAAAAAAAGTGCTTGTAGTGGTAAAAGAATAGCTAAGAATTAAAGCCATTTCCTTGCTTTCTAGGCCTCAGTTTCCTCACCTCTTAAGGTACAGAGGTTATCTATCTCTTATATCTCTCCCAGCATACCCTGCCATAATGCTTAAACCTTTCCTTTACCATACCTCAAAGTTCATGGAAATGGGGGGTCGAGCCCATTTCTTCTTGTCATTGGTGGGAAGAAGCTCAATCTCTGCACTGATCTGCGATTCCTTCATGCCAGCCATGCGCTTGATTCTGGGAACACAAGGAAAATGGGTAACAAGTACTCATGGCACTTTGGAGGTATTTCAGAGTGTTGTACATTTTAAGCACAAAGGAATGCCCAAGAGTACATGAGAGGGCAAGGAAAAATGGCCAGATTCTGATAACCGCTTGCTATGGAACCTTGGGTCTGCTAGCTCCTGTAGCTCTTAGGGCTGCAGTTTCTGCTTAGAGAGGTGAGCTATCCCTTATTTTTAGATATATTACAAGGAGGGGCAAGTGGGAAAGCCTCTTGAAAACTCCAATCTTTTTTTTTTTTTTTTCTTAAATCAGTCGTGGGGGTTGAACTCTGGGCCTGGGCACTGTCCCTGAGCTCTTCAGCTCAGGGTAAGTGCTCTACCACTTGAGCCACAGCGCCACTTTCAGTTTTCTGGTGGTTAATTGGAGACCAGGGTCTCATGGACATTCCTGCCAGGGATAGTTTTGAACCACGATCCTCAGATCTCAGCCTCCTGAGTAGCTAGGATTACAGGTGTGAGCCACCAGTGCCTGGGAAGACCCAGTCATTTTATGAGCCAAGCCCGAGTACAGGCACTCAAATGCACGTGTAAAGGTGACAGCACAAGCTGAGGTCCTAGAAAAGTTATCACACTTCTACTCCCTAACCCACCCTTAACCTTAGTAAGAAAGTACACTATATAAACTTGAGCCCAGCTGAAAGCCCTGAAGCAAAGACTCACTTCCATACAATGGCGTTCTCGCTGGCCTTGTACTTGGCCTTCCCCTTCATGCAGATTACCTGCACCCCGCTTGTGTTCAGTGGAGTTGGGATTCTCACCTAGAAATAACAGTCAGGAAGCTTTGTTACTAAGTGACCCAATAGAGCTGTCTTTATGTCTATTAACAAGTTATCCCTCCCCAAGTCTCCTCTCCTTACCTCAATCTTCTGTGCTAGGAGTGAGGGCTTGAAGTTGGACTTGATGACCACCTTGACCTCCAGTTTGGTGCGCCCCACTTCCCGCACGAGTGGAATCACCCGGAAAGGAAGGATGATGTCCTTGGTGGTACGATACCTTTGGGGATGGACAATGTTGGCATTGTAGGACTCTTTGTCTCCCACCTTTCTCCCCGCTTGCCAGTAGTACCCACTGCCTCCTCACTCCCTAATGGCACCTCATGAGCTCAAACTCTCCATCTGGTGGGATGAAGCTGATGCTGCGTTCAGAGTCAAACTTGCTGAGTCGCACACACTGGTGGAAGGTGCAGTCATCAATGGCAATTGATTGCTTCCCACTACAAGCACAAGCAGAAACATTCTTCTCATCAGGAATGGTAGGTGGCAGACAGGGAGGCCAACCTACTCCCAGTCCCTTAGGCTATGGGAAGCTGCCAAAAAGAAGCTTCTGACTCTGTCCCACAGTTCAAGATAAGATAGCTTTTCAAGGTTATCAC